AATGAAAAAAGTGTCAATAAAAGCTAACCAACACCAAAATACATCTATCAATTCAATTCAATCCAAGTCATATCCCATCAACTCATCTCTTCATCCTCATCCGCCTCTCCAGTCTCCAACTCTTCTAGATCATCCACATACCGCCTCCTCTTCGCCCTCATCCGCGCCTCTTCAGTCATAAACCCCCCAAGATCACCTTGGTATACCCCGACAATGCCGCCATCGACGGCTCCCACAACACCCAATTCCTCACTACCCATGATGTGCCCCTCCACATCGACTTCCTCGCAGAGCTCCATCAAGCTTCGTCTGCTCAGGCGCCTAAACCCCATTGTTCGGACTATGCGACCCCAGTAAGTCAAGACAAAGCCGGCAGCTTTTTTTCGCAAGCCTTCCTCACCAGCAACGCCAGCACGCTCCCAGATTACAGCGGCGGACTCGACGTCGAGCTTCGAGAATAGTCTGTTTAGAGCGAGCGCTCGTAGTCTCTTCAAGTCGTACAAGCTGGCCATGACGAGCAGACCAGCCCCGGTTGAAAGGTTAGGGCAGTAGAGTGATGTCGCGACAGAGTCGGTATATAAGTAATACAAAAACGCGCGGACGACGGTGTATGGCTCCGGTAAGTACATCCTATTCTTATGAAACTCAACCATCCGAGCGCTGTACAAGGTAGCAAAGTGCGGCCATCTCGAAAGCAGAATGAGTTTGTGAACCCTTATAGGGGGCCCTAAAACTTCTTCCGGCGGGAGATCATCATCCCCGGGGCCCCCTTCAGGCCGGTTAAGGCCTTCATCAATATCGTGCATCTTGTTTGAACCGTTCATAATGCTTCTCCCCCATACCCCAGTCATATCCCACTCATCACCCTCCGTGGCCTCATCCTTTATCGCTCGGATTACGAAGTCCCAACCCCGCGAGAGTAAATTTAGTCATAGAAGCTTCTCTATTGAAAGAGAGGAATTTTTCAAGGTGGAGCTAGGGAAGGGCATCCGTGGGAAGACTTGTCGCGGCAAACGAATCAGCTACGGCTCTCGCCGGCGACCAGTGAAATAATCTTCGAGCTGCGGCAAGAAGATTGGAACTACCCGAATAGCACATAAATTACTACAGAACCCATGCAGAGAAAGAGACTCGACCTTACTAAAAATATTAGCATGGGACTAGCCGACTCGAGGAGTAGTACTGTACGAGTACACTACTCGAGTACCAAGTAGACCGTGTGAACATACAATAGCTATCAAGAACTCTCATACAAACATTTCCACTATTATACTAGGTCTGATACATTTATGAAGCGCAATAATTGCTCCTTTCGTAGTGCTCGTAAGACCTTTTCCCTTCGCTGTGCTATTCTGAGTGTTACCCTTGTAGTTTAAATTAATCACAGGCACATACTTACCTTCAGGGATCTTTATCTATTCGTCCAATTCAATGATCTAAAGTCTTCTTGAGTATTGAGAATATGCTCCCACATATGATGTCATTCTCACCAGGCGCCAGCATTTCGCCCTATCATCTCAGTTGCTTAAACAGAGCAGCCACTACGATATATTTTATGTTATAGGTCTCCGGGAGCTATTTCCTAAAGAGGCGCCCATTCTTGGCTCGGACGCACAAGTACTGTACTCAAGTAATGGTTGGCTAGCAGGTTTGCCGACAGCGACCGGACATGCAGCTGCCGTTTCTGTGGGTAAGCGCTGGCATTTTGGCGCCCCCCCTCACGGAGAACTTAAAAACCATTGCCCTCCAAAGAAACCCCCCCCCCCGACTAGTTGCTGTTTTCCACTATATCTTTGAATCCGTAGTGGAAAAGCATAACTCAAACGAATCTAAAGCTTGAAGGCCTATCCACCTTAAGAGTAAACACCAGCTTTTTTCTTATCTTTTACATCAAATAAACAGCAAGTTATCATAGCCACACTTTTTGAGTTTCCCCTCTGTTTAGCCCACAACATTCCTGAGAATCAGAAATGGCAGAGCCCTTCTCCATCGCTGCCAGCGGCATAGCTCTCATTCACCTCAGCGCGAAGGTTTTCGAACTTTGCTATGGCTACTACAACACAGTCAAGGGGAGCAAACAAGATATCAAGAAACTTGGGGATGAGATTAAAGGCATCCATCAACAGCTCGAGGAAATCCGAAGCCTTGCTACCGGAGATGACGAGAACAACCCACAATACCCTAGCCTTCTTAAATGGGCAGAAAACGAAGACTTAAATGATTACAGGACAGCCCTGGAGGAGCTGGAAGGAAAGCTGGATGTTCAGGGATGGAGGAAATCCATGAGTAAAAATGTTTGGCCTATTCGTAAGCCCAAAATGGATCATTACCTAGGCTTGGTCGAAGAGCAGAGATCCAAGCTTCAACTCTTATTATCCACAGCCACGACGTAGGTTATCCATTCTCTTATATCCCAAGAATCCACTCCGCTTTTTTAGGTGGCGAGGCTAACTAGTTGTCCAGGAAGACGGTGACAAAGGTGTCTCGAGAACAAGATGGTACTTGGTTCCATGATCCCTAACCCTGCCTACAATTTTCTCTACTAAGACTAGATATTTCTAAAACCACAGATAATAAATTGCAGAAAGTACGGAAATGGCTTAACGTGGTTGACCCTAGTGCCAATTTCTCACTCGCACTTAATCTTCGTGAACCTGGTACGGGTAATTGGCTGCTCAAGGGACAGCAGTACATCGCTTGGAAGGAAGGCAGGGGAGGAGTTCTCTGGCTTCACGGTATACGTAAGTCTACAGACGAGTGAAATCCCATATTCCAAAGAATGTCATTAACATTTGTGCCTTATAGCCGGATGTGGCAAGAGTGTCCTAAGGTGCGAACTTCACGGGGTATCAGGGAGTGCAATGCGATTTCCTAATTGCTAATTCTCTCTTTAGCGCTACCGCCATTGAAGATGTCCAGCATCTATGCATGACCAACCATAAGCACGCATTAGCCTACTTCTACTTTTCCTTCACCGACTCGGAGAAGCAGAATCTTCTTAATATGCTCCTGTCTGTCGTTGGCCAACTACTAGAATGGATTTCAGGCCGTGATTTCCCTGATGAGGTTCTAAATCTGTATCGCAATTCCAAGGAAATCGGAAAGTCAACAGATATCAAGGCTCTGAAATTGGTATTTTCACAGATGATAAACCCTTCAAAAAAGACATTTATCATTCTTGACGCCTTAGATGAATTTCCCAAGGAAACGCGGAAGGGCCTCCTATCCTGGATCCGCGAACTTACCGTTGTTCACGACCCAGGATCGCTTTCCATTCTCATCACCAGTCGTCCCGAAGCCGATATAGTGAAATCCCTAGGACCACTTGCCACTTTTTCAATATCGTTACAATCCAACATTATCGATCCGGATATCCGGTCATATATACAGAATTCCCTGGGCGAGAGGGATGGTCTCAAGGAATTTACCGAAGAAATTAAGAGTGAGATAGAGGACACACTCGTTTCTCGCTCACAGGGAATGTATGTTGTACTCAACTTTTACATTTTTTAACTTACGCTGATACAAGGCTGGATATGTGAAGGTTCCGATGGGTGGTTTGCCTATTGCGGATTCTACAAGAATGCATCACACCAGAAGACGTGAGGGAATCATTAAAGGAACTGCCGGAAGATTTAGACTCTGTCTACCTGAGGATCCTCAATACCATTCCTATGAAGCAGAAGGAATATATTCGGCGGGCCATGAATTGGCTTGCATTTTCAGCAGAGCCATTGACATTGGGCCAGTTAGCGGAGGCCATTGTGATCGAATGCGATGTCAATAAATATGGCCTCGACTCGAAAACGCTTTTTGACCAGAGTTCCCTCATGAGCATTTGCCCTAGCCTTATTTCATTCGAAGACGCCAGGGACGATGAGTCATCCAGCCAGGAAAACCGCCGATTACGACTAGCTCATTTCTCGGTAAAAGAATATTTGATCTCCGAACGGGTTGCGCAGGGTCCCAGTGCCTACTATCATATTTCGGACGAGAAAGCCAATTTACTAATGGGGCACGCTTGTCTCAGTCGAATACTGCGACATAGTGCAGAAGGTACTATAAGCGGGAACAAAGTCGAAGAAACATCATTTCTCCACCACAGTGCTCGCTATTGGTTCGTATATATCAGATCTATTGAGGATACAGCACCCACACCACTCTCCGACGTGGCCGTGAAGGTCCTCGAGCTTGGCAAGGAGTGGCTAGATATATATAACCCGGACGACCCTCACGGGGTTCGTACCTACGACTCCGGGATTTACCCACCGGCAATCTACTATTCCTCCTTGTTAAATTTAGTGACGGCCTGTAAATTCCTTGTCGATAGAACAGTGGATACAGTAAATGTGAATACTCAGGGTAGCGAGTTCGGGAACCCACTACAAGCAGCTGCATATCAGGGAAACGAATCGGTTGTGCAGCTTCTCCTCGAGTGTGGGGCAGAGGTGAATGCGAAGGGTGGCAATTTCCACAATGCACTGTGCGCAGCTGCATATCCGGGAAACGAATCGGTTGTGCAGCTTCTCCTCGAGCGTGGGGCAGAGGTGAATGCGAAGGGCGGCAACTTCCACCACGCACTACACG